CTGACACTGAAAGAGCCTCCAATGCGGCACTGTTGGGAAGGACTGGTAAAGAGAGGCTGCTAAAAATCTCAGGAAATGTTACTGGTGTCTGCTTGAGCAAATCAATGATCGACGGGATGACAGTGATACAGTGATGATTCTAAGACCTAGTAGTCTACAGGGTAAGTACTTGGGAAAGTACTTTGTCTCTCAGAGTAGAAAGAAAAAGCCATTCCATTTCATTGGCTTTATCTGACGTATCAGCCTCTTTCTGTGATTGTACCTTGAAGATGTCATCAGGCTGAATGTCTTAATTCTCAAGAGAAATTCATTTAGTGATACATAGTAGGAAGTAGAAATAAGTGCAACATGAGGAACTCCTAAAATTTCTTCTGTATCTATCTAGGCATGCGGGTCCCAGGGCTGAGGTCTCCAAGCCTACTTGGATTGGGACTGGGCCTTCTCCACCCAGACCCCCCATCTTCCAGTAGGTAGGCATCACACCCACCAGCTGCCGCCAGCACCAGGTTGGTCCCATCAATGGCCAAGATTCAGAAACTATAAAACCCAGCTCCCGGAGGAGAACAGCGCAGAGTCTCCTGCCCCTGTGCCTGGCTGTCCTCACTGGGGCCCCTTGGAGGGGGGAGGGTTGAGTTTCTCTCCCCGCCTCTGCCCTGAGCAGAGCCCCAGCAGCTGAGGACCTCCGGAGCCAGCCACGGCCATGCTAGGACCACTCTCCACACGTCCGGAAGGGTCTCATGCATGAAAGACGTGGCAGAGGAACACAGGCATGCGGTTCCCGGGGCTGAGGTTTCCAAGCCTACTCGAATTGGGACTGGGCCTTCTCCACCCAGACCCTCCTTCTTCCAGTAGGTAGGCGTCACACCCACCAGCTGCTGCCAGCGCCAGGTTGGTCCCATCAACGACCAAGTTGCAGAGACTATAAAATCCAGCTCCCGATAGCAAATGCGGCCGTGTGATATCTTATTATCTTATTTTTCCTTTGGAGAACCTGGCAGGCTACCAAAAGTATCCTGCCCACACGGCAAAGTCTGGCAAACTTCCCATGTCGTACTCAATATGCCAAATACCAGTAACAATGATGGGTCTCATTCTCCTAATCCCGAAAGACCATTGAAATGGCTCTTTTAAAATCTCAGGGCTAGGAAGAAGGAGACGTTACTGGTGCCTGCTTGAGGCAATTGACGAACAACAGGATGATCGTGATCTATCTATCTATCTATCTATCTATCTATCTATCTATCTATCTATCTTTTTGGGTCACCCCCAGCAATTTTCAGGGGTTACTCTTGATTCTGCACTCAGGAATTACTCCTGGCGGTATGTGGTGGACCATATGGGATGCCGAGGATCGAACCCAGGCTGGCGGCATGCAAGGCAAATGCCCTACCTGCTGTACTATCACTCAAGCCCCCTCTATGTATTTGTACACTAAGTAGCTAATATTATCAGAAGCCCCCCACCATCATATTGAGGCTGGACATCCAAGGGTTCATTTGTGACAAAAATGAACTTGCCTGTTCTTTTTTAAGAGAATTAAAATAATTTTTATGAAAGAAATTTAGAGAAATGTGAACAAGAGGGGGAGAATAAGAGAGAAACTCATGTTCGAGAGAGAGCTGGGTCTTCTACAGAGTGCAGTGCATTGAGAGAGGACCGCCCTGGAGAAAGGAAACCTTGACCTCTGGCTCTAGGTCTCCACCCATGACATAACTTATGGTTATTTGCATTTGTAGCTTCAGGTTATTTGTATTTGCTTCCACCTGAGGAAGTGGTGATAGCACTGCTGATGTATATAGGAGTACTGAATCCACACCAGATGGAGGAGAGTCATTGGTACATGTCTGAAAAGGGTGTATGTTACGGGAAAAGTAGGGAAGAAACAGAATGTCAAGAGTATGCTTACTGTTTTAGCTTCCTGAGTTTTGCTAAAACTCAGGAAGATTCTGGAGCTCAGGTGTGTCCAATTACCTATTCTTTTCCCTCATCCCTCTACAGACCACTTTTTGAATATCAGACCCAAGGATCTTTGGCCATCTGGGATTTTCACATGTTAAACAGAGACACCAAAATTCTCCTGTGTTTGGACTTAAGCTTTTTGCTGTAAGGACCTCAGGGGAGAGCATAAGTCCTGAAATACAACCTGCTCTGGTCCATGTCCTTCATGATCCCAGTAGATTTTGGATCCTTTCCTCTTTCTGAGCTACCTAATTCCTTTCCAATAGAACTTCTGTTTTTACATTTTTATTTATTTATTTTTTTGCTCACATATTAGGCTGATTCTGTGTCTGTGGCTCTAACCAAATGAATCTGAGCTGGGACAACTATTCAATAAAATTGCATCTATAGCAAGGGGGAATGCCCTGCCACAGAGGCAGAGTGGGATGGGGGGATGGGGGTGGGAGGGATGCTGGGACCCGTGGTGGTGGTGGATGGGCGTTGGTGGAGGGATGGGTACTTGATCATTGTATAACTGAAACCCAAGCACAAAAATTTGTAAGTCTATAACTGTACCTCATGGTATTTCACTAATAAAAAAATAAAAAAATAAATTGCATGGGCTGGAGCGATAGCACAGCGGGTAGGGCGTTTGCCTTACAAGCGGCCAACATGGCCGACCCGAGTTCGATTCCTCCGCCCCTCTCGGAGAGCCCGGCAAGCTACCGAGAGTATTCGATATGCCAAACACAGTAACAACAAAGTCTCCAATGGAGACGTTACTGGGCCCGCTCGAGCAAATCGATGATCAACAGGAGGACCTTTTAATAAAACCTAAAAAATATTGCATCTATAGTAATTAAACACAATGACCTCAGAGGCAAAGGTTTGTCAAATTACCAAATGATTCATTCCCTGAAACACTAAGTACACAAATGAAATTAAAAGAAAATATGAATTATCTCAGAACTGCTGGAGAATTGAATAGGAAGTGAAACACAATGTTGGGGTGGCAGGAAAGTGACTAGACATTGCCTTTGATGACTTCTCTTGTTTGTTTTGGGATGGAACCAAGTTTCATACTCGCAAGGTTTGCACTTTAGCACTGAGTCATGTTCCTGACATCCCCCTATCCCTCTCTCTCTCTACAATAGTGATGCTCAGGATTTATTCCTGGCTCTGTGCTCAAGGATTGCTCCTGGCAAGGCTCCAAGTAACTTATGGGGTATCGGGGATCAAACCTGGGTCAGTCACATGCAAGGCAAGTGCCTTACCTGCTCTACTAACTCTCAGGCCCGTCTGCCGACCTCTCTAGGAAGAGATGGAAGACTCGTTTAAAAGTCATAGGAAAACACTATTTATAGTGAGAGGACCCAGAAAAGTCTTTTGTCAGTGTAGACAAAAGTTCATATCAGAGACTGGAGGCTTTGTGAATGACCCAGATTTTCTTACAATACCTTGTCTTTTTGTTCTCTTTTTATCTTTATAATAAAAATTTACATGTCCAGAATTCTGTCAACATTTATGACTTGGAGACCACATTTGCCTCATCATCTCTTGGTTCTGGTCCTGGATTCATGTCATGGGAACCTGTTTGGCATTTCCATTTCCACTTGGGTAGAAGTCCATGAGAGAAGGAAACGAGGGTGGTATTTTTTCTCTTGCCTCTCATGAGGAATGATGATACATAGTAAATTTGAGGCTAACTCCATCCCTAAACTGTCATAGACAAAGGAGATCATGTTCTTTGTTATCACCTTCTTTTCTCCATTAGTTATCCCCACATAAACCATCTAAGTGATCTAAAATCTAAGTGATTGTGCCTCCATTCTTGTCTTCAGGGACTCCTAGATCATGCCAGCTACCACAGGCAGCTTAGGGACTTTGGGATTTGGTGCTGAAAGCAATGGGAAACTATTAAATGTAGAAAGGAGACATTCCACAGAATCTGTATCTTAAGGATCTGTTGGTCTAATTTGGGATGAGGGACAGGGGCAGTATCTCAATCATAAAGGCATGTCTGCAGGTTCTTGTGGGTCTATGGCAAACATTGTGGTAGCTTGGGCAAGGATGTTGTTGGTTACCCTTTTTCTGTCTCTTCATTTCAGGCTGATCCTCTCAGTGCCACAAACAAGGATCTGGCTCAGTCAGTTGAGTGTATGTCCCATTCAATCAGAATGCAGGTGAGTCCATCAGTCAACTCCATAAAGTCTTTAACAATCACCATGTTTATTGAAGCAGCATACAAGACCTGGGAACATGACAGAACTGAAACAATGTTATTTTTAACAGACCGAGGCTCCGAGATGTTCCATCGCTTCATGTTTAATTTTTAGAGTTTCTTTAGCAATGCCAGGAGTTTAACTCATGGTCTCATACGTGTAAGTCAAACGTTCTTTTGTGGAACTACTGTCCTGACCTCAGGATATTCTCTTTATTGGAAACCAACAGGTGACATGCAGGTTTCTTGACTTGTGTTGTCATTTAGTTCCTTATTCCTTTGTTCTCAGAACAACTTCTGTTCCCATTGTAGACTGTTACTGTAATTTTATGCTCTTTCTGTACATCCCCAAACTATAGTGATTTGACACAAGTTCCACATGTTCAACTGTCACCACACTACCTGAGGACAAAGGTAAGTTTCTGAAAGAAAGTCCATGCAAGGAAAATATGAATTATATGAAGGAATCAGTGATTTTTTTGCTGGGATATAAACCAAGGGAAGGTCTACAGAGGAGCCCTGTTACTTCTCTATTCCAGTAATTCTAACATCTTGTCTTTCTCCCATTTCTAGACCTTTAATATGTTGATCTGCCCATAGACTGTTCCTCCTTGTCTCTATCTTCATCCCTGTAATGTTCTTTAATCCCAAATCAATGGTCACTCCCCACTCCCCTGGCTGTCCATCCCCTTCTCTGCTTTATTCCTGGATCTCTGTTATTACCCTGTCTTTCTTTATTAACCTCTTTCTGTACTCAGCTGTAGAAGAAGTCAACGCCTTAATCGCAATTCTATAAGCTTGATTTTACCCTCGAATTCCCTCAGACAACGTATCCCACCCCTTACTCCGACCCACCACCCTGTTCCCTGCGCTCCTCTGAGGGAATCAGATCCGACTGCAGCGTCTCATAGACTTGTTGGAGTTCCACCAACATATTTTCCATCTCCTGAGCCCGCTGCTTCAGCATCTCACCAGACTCTGTTTTAGCCCGCTCCTGTAATTCCTTTGAGTCTTGCTCAAGACCGTATATATCCATCAGAATTGCTAAACCACTGAAGGCCCTACCAATGATACTGACTTCCTTGGTCTTCGTCTTGGTAGTGGCTCCCAAAACTTTGCTGTTCAGACTAGAACTTTGAGCTGTTGCCTCAGGGCTGATACTGGCCAACTTCATGACACAAACATGTCTTGCAATGTGTCTCACAACCTTGTAACAATTTACTAAAGAAGAGATTCTTTCTTTGCTATCACCTAGAACTTCCCAGAGCAGACCTAAGTTGACTCCAGTTGATTCCAAGTTCTTGGCCTCAGCTTCTATGGACAGCACATTTTTGCGGTCCTGGGTTTTGCTGACCACAGTTGTGGCAACTGCCACATATCCCAGCACCAAACCAACTCCTGTCAGTGTGAAACTGGGCACTGATGTAAAAGGAGACAGGATCATGCCCAGGGAATTCAGGAGGCTGGATGCCAAGCCAGTGTGCTTGGCCACCTTGTAAGCAGTGGCACGATTCTTATGGAACCGGTCAGCCTTCTCTGCAAGTATGTGGAGCTGATTTATGTGCTTCTCAACATCACTTTTTACCTGAGGATATAAATTCAAGAACCTCTCCCTGAACTCTTTTTCTTGTTGGTGCATCTCTTTGATTTCTGCGTCCGTGAGCGTTCCCTGTTTCCTCAAGCTTTCACGAAGTGCCTTTGCCTCATCTCTGTAACATAGAAGGTAGATGATTGATTTGTTGGCGCATCAGTTAGATGATCTGCACTGAGCTGTGTATCCTGGCTAAACCTAAGAGTTTTCACTATCTCCCACATAAAAGGATCTGATGGAAGCAATGAGTTTTTCCCCCTTAACATTAAGTATGTGTTGTACATTGTCAATGATTCCCAGTACTTACTTATCAGGGAATAAATACGTGAATATCATTTAAGATGATCTTAAATTAAAAGGTAAAGGCCCTCCCGTTGATCGTTGATTTGCTCAAGCGGGCCCAGTAACGTCTCCATTGGAGACTTTGTTGTTACTGTGTTTGGCATATCGAATACGTCACGGGAAGCTTGCCAGGCCCTGCCGTGCGGGCGAGATACTCTCGGTAGCTTGCCGGGCTCTCCGAGAGGGGCGGAGGAATCGAACTCGGGTCAGCCATGTTGGCCGCGTGTAAGGCGAACGCCCTACCCGCTGTGCGATCTTAAATTAGAGGTATTTAATAAAGAACCAGTGCCCTCAAGAACAAGTTAATACCTTCAGCACATCAGTGTTCAGATAGCAGCAGCCCTCTATCAATAAGAAGGGTCATGGACACAGGAGCACTTTGGTTCGGAGAAACTAGTGTGGAGTGAGCGTAAAGTCAACTTTGCCATAAGCTCTGGGAAGTGATTTCCTGGCACCTTGAATGTCCTATTTGATAGAAGGATACTCAATTACACGGATATTGGGCTAGTAGATGGTCTAACAATGTGATCTTATGATGGAGCTTTGGGTCATGTCATATCAGTTCTGACCTGGGGAGAGGCTAGAATTACGGGTCAACCATATGGGCAGTGTGTTTTTGGTTTTTGTTTTTGCTTTTGAGTCACACCTAGAGATGATAAAGGGATTATTCCTGGCTCTGCACTCAGGAATTACTTCTGGCCATGATTGGGGGACCATACGAGATGCCGGGGATTGAACCCAGGTCGGCCATGTGCAAGGCAAACACCCTATCCGCTGTACTACCGCTCCAGCCCCAGGCAGTTTGTGTTTGACCAGAATGTAGTTTTAAAAATTGACTGGGTGGGTAATGACTATTTTCTTGAGCAAAGCTTAGTCAGGTTGTGTGAAGTTTTCTTCTGGACTGTAACTTGACCCTGGCTTTCCATGTCCTCCTTGCCAATCTGTAAAGCCCTGTTGTCTATAAAAGAACCTGGTGGGTTAGATTAACGAGAGAATCCCCCCTACGTGTCTCATCACCATGATATGAGATTAAACCACCATCCATTTTTGTGTATTTGTTTTTGATGTACCTTTAAACAAAGTTCTCTTAGATCAGTTTTGCAAGAATGCCCCATACTCTTGGGGTCTCTGGATAATCCTGACACCCACTTCACTCTCCTTCTTCACTAAAATTGCCACTTGTATTTGATGTATTTTCTCCATCTCCTCTATGGCAGTGATTCAAACACCTATAAAACTACTCTTGAATACTGTCATTTAGATGGTTTTTTTTTTTAACAAGAGTCAGAATCAATTTCTCTTCCCTATGGTGAGATCCCTGGTTGGCAATACTTGAATGTAAGGTGACACTGAATGCAGGACAATGGCATTTCCTGAGCATAAGGAATGTCACATTTGAGACCTTCCCAGACTTTGCATTTTCCCTTGCTTCTATTAACTGCCATCTTTTCTCTAATAAACTGCAGCTATGAGCCCATCATCTTTGTTAATCCTGTTAGACACTCCAATAAATTTTCAGTCTTGAGTGAGTTTTGGAAGACCCAGACCCAACTTTTAGATGGAGTCAAATATAAAGGTGTTTGGGAGATAGGTCTCGCATTTGCCAGTTTGGTAATTCTTGAACTGAGAAATACCAAATTATTAAAGATAGAAGGGAGCTTTAACTGTATTTCTGCTTTTTATACACAAGCTTGATATTATGAATAACCCCCTTCAAGATTTTGGCCACACCAGGAGGATTACTCCATAACTTAGAGGCCAGCCGGGTATCCTAGAGGAAAGGGCTGTTCAGATAGAGAAGGGAGCACCAAATAAAGGATGTTTGGAGGATCCTCCCAGGAGGGGAGATGCATGTAGAAAGTAGACTATGGACTGAACATGTTTGCCACTCAATGCCTCTTTTGCAGACCACAACACCCAAAAGGAGAGAGAGAACACAGGGGATTGCCCTGCCACAGAGACAGGGGGGATGGGGGGATGGGGGTGGGAGGGATATTATCCATGGTGGTGGAAAATGGGCACTGGTGGAGGGATGGGTATCTGATCATTGTATAATTGAAACCAAAGCACAAAAAATTGTAAATCTACAACTTTAAAAAAAATAAAATAAAATAAAGGAAAAAAAAAAAAGATTTTGGCCACATGGTACACATTGATTCAGTTGCCTGGCAAGCAGGGATATGCTACAAAGTTTGGTTCTGTGTGGAGCTTCCTGGCTGCTGTCACAAAATGGCACAGCTGAGCTTTAAGTTCATAGCACTGAGATAGGGAGCATGGTAGCACTCCACCCCGACTGGATGGTGACCCTGGTCCCCTCTGGCCCACTGCGTTGCCTCTACTGCATACTGAGACCTAGTCAAGGCAAATTCACCTGCAAGAAAGGACTTTCCTGGTGGCATGGTATGGATAAGGTGCTATACAGCGGCCCTTAGAGATAGTTGTCCTCTCAGGTGTCATCAGTCTAATTTTTACCTTTGCTGCTGAGGGCTGCTAGTGTTTGCCTACGAGGCCATGTGAAATTTTATGGAACCTTAAATATATCTCAGAGATGAAGTTAAGAGCGATTTTTGGTTATGGAAAGATAGCATTGTAGCACTGTCCTCCTGTTGTTTATCAATTTCCTCGAGCAGGCACCAGTAACATCTCCATTGTGAGACTTGTTACTGTTTTTGGCATATTCAATACACCATGGGGAGCTTGCCAGGCTCTGCCATGTGGGCGGGATACTCTCGGTAGCTTGCCGGGCTCTCTGAGAGAAACGGAGGAATTGAACCTGGGTCGGCCACGTGCAAGGTAAACGCCCTACCTGCTGTGCTATCGCTCCAGCCCATGGATATTGCTCATAGAAAGATAATACTAGTAAAGCCTGCATTTGGCATACTACTCGAGAAAATCTTCCTCTTTAAATAAACTCAGAGTCTCCTCAGCTTCTTTTGATCACACACATAAAGGAACTACCCTGCAACTAACTGTGCTATTGTTAGGGGTCAACTGTGAGAGTGACTCTCCACAGGCCAGGGGCTTCCTAGGTGGAATAGAAGAGTGTTCTGGATGGCTGTGAAAAACACTTAACTCCCAGGCAGTTGTGGAGAAAACAATCCCCCTGACCCATCATCCATCCCAGACTGAGGATGTCCAATGGGGAAGGAAAGAATTCGGGGCAGGATGACTGTGGTGCTTGTCCATTGAACCCCACTGTTGAATTCCTTCAATCCAAGTAGAAGTTGCTACTCTCATTGGACAGATGGGAAACCTGGGAATGCCAAGCACAGATGTAGAGCCCTAGAGCTGGGGGGAGATAGAATTAGGATCTAGCCCACTATGCGAAAAGATCTTATGACCTCTCTGTCTCATGGACTGAAAGGTCCAGGTAACAATTGAATTATCCCCTTAATTGTGTCCCCATGTTCACGGGACACAAAGGGCTGTTCCCAGTCAATGGACTGGAGATGGTGAATGAGGACAGGTACAAGCGTGTGTGTGTGTGTGTGTGTGCGTGTCTGTGTGTGTCTGTGTGTGTGTGTGTGTGTGTGTGTGTGTGATAGAGTGAGTGAGAGAGAGAGACAGAGAGACAGAGAGAGAGGATATGCTGAGACAATGTAGGTGTGTTTCCAGCTCCCTTAATTGTAGAGATAGGACATTCACCCAGTGCCCAGGTATGCCAGGATGGTCTTCTCCCTAAAGGAAGTGTTCACTTTCATCTATATGAAGTGGACTCTTAGCCCAGTTTCTTCCCTGTATAGTTTCCAGATGTTGATATTAATTGAGCATCCCTCTGTGTCAGTACCGTGCTAAGTATTTTGCATGTATTGCCTTATTTTCTTTAATGACAGTGAATCAAGAGATGACATTGAAGCATGCTTACATATTCCCTTTCCACCCCCTTTCCTTCCTCTCAACTCAGACCATCACTGCCATTTGGATGACAATCATCAGATGCTGTAAGTATAGCACACCCCTTACCCAGACCACAGGTGATTACATGGAGACGTGCTAGCAAGGATGAGAGTAGCCCAGACCGATAGAATGAGTGATGTCCTACGAACCCTTTCCTTCCTCTTAATTACCTGCTTAACTCAGAATCAGCCACAAGTTGCTCCCACTCGTCATCTCTACTTAACAGAGATTGCAGGTCCTCCTCGCTCACTTCATTCAGGAGAGAGTGGATGGTGTAGTCAATAAAGCTCTCTAGATGGAAGAAGAAAGAAAAAAGATCAGAGCACTGGGGAACAGCTCTCCTGGTATTGAGTCCTAGTTGTTTCCATGTGATTCTTCCTAAGCACTGTTCCCTGAGACACTTTGATGGAATCACCTGGTGAATGGAGTTAGTTGTGTCTCCTTTTTTACCTGTTAGGCCTCAGCCTCCACTTTGGCTATATTGGAGATGAGGTATTTAGAGAGGAAGGACAGGTTAAATGAGCCATAAAATTCAGATCTTAGATCTCTAACACTGGAATCCTAAGAAATGAAGGTTCTCTGAATATCTCCCCACACTCTCTCCACAGAGTATAGGCCACTGGAGGACAGAGTGGGAAGATGGCAGCCCGCTCATTAAGAAAAGAGATCTCCAGCACCAGGAGGATTACTCCATAGCTTAGAGGCCAGCCGGGCATTCTAGGGGAAAGGGCAGCTCAGATAGAGAAGGGAGCACCAAATAAAGGGTGCTTGGAGGATCCTCCCAGGGGGGGAGATGCATGTTGAAAGTTGACTATGGACTGAACATGTTTGCCACTCAAAGCCTCTTTTGCAGACTACAACACCCAAAAGGAGAGAGAGAACAAAAGGGAATGCCCTGCCAAAGAGGCAGGGTGGGATGGGGGGGTGGAGGTGGGAGGGATATTATCCATGGTGGTGGAAAATGGGCACTGATGGAGGGATGGGTATTTGATCATTGTATAATCGAAACCCAAGCACAAAAAAATGTAAATCTACAACTGTACCTCATGGTGTTTCACTAATAAAAATTAAAAAAAAAGAAAAGAGATCTCCCCAGAATCCAATCCTGCCAGAACCTCAATCTTCTATTTCCAGTCCCCAGAATTCATGATTTCACCTCTGCCTCTCTGTGTGTTTAGGAATAGTCTGTCATGCTTTACATGGAGGCTGCAGGCACAGAAGGTACAGAAGGTACCTTTGGTACAGAAGGTCAGGTAGCACCCTGGACACAAGTGCTCCCATGTTCACGGGACACAAAGGGCTGTTCCCAGTCAATGGACTGGAGATGGTGAATGAGGACAGGTACAAGCGTGTGTGTGTGTGTGTGTGTGCGTGTCTGTGTGTGTCTGTGTGTGTGTGTGTGTGTGATAGAGTGAGTGAGAGAGAGAGACAGAGAGACAGAGAGAGAGGATATGCTGAGACAATGTAGGTGTGTTTCCAGCTCCATACAGGTAAGTAGGTATTCTTATTTCACAGGATGAGTGATCACGCCTCCAGCAAGAAGAACGATCAGGACTTAAATCTGAGCCAAATTTCAGGCATCTCTGTGACATTACATCGAAGTCTCCTTATGTTCCAGAAGTTCCTCCAGACACTACCTTAAACTCTATAGCATGTCTGTGGAGCTTCAAAGGGGCAGTTATACTAAAAACTAATGGTGCCACCTAAGAGCCAGGAATAAAATGACAGTGACCAGGCCAAGATGAATCTTTTTGTTCATCCTAGACCCTCTAATATGGGCAGTATGAGGGTGGTCTTCAGATAGGTGGGGCTGGATCCTCATGTCCGAGCCTTGGGATCAGCCCTCATCACCTCTTCCTGGTTGTCTCACAGGACACAGTTCCCTAATGGCTCTCCTCACCCCAGCTAGCCCATCGACTGAACAAGAGGTCCTCCTGTTTCTGGACAAAGTTGTGTCCTAGGAAATCTTCAACCCTAGACTCCTGCTGGGATCCAGGGCTATGGTGCCTCTTGTTTCTAATCCATCATCCCTCCCTCCCTCCTCTGATATAGCACAGGGTCAGCACCACTTGTCTCCTGGGAGTTCCTGGAGGATCAGATTATATGGCCCAGGTGCAGAGTGAGAAGGAAAAGGAGAGTGTCATGAGAGAGAATGCTTCAGGAAACCAAATGAATTTTGGTAGCAGGGGATGATTCACATTTTTTGTGGTTTTTCTGCTTTACTGAAGAGAAAGAGGATACCAGGGCTTAGATGCAGGGAACTCAAGGCCTTGTGTGTATGTATTTATTCTTATGGAGGGTCTCTTCTAGGGTCATTGACATGAAAAGGGCTCTCCCAGAGACCATCATGTCTGGTCATAGGCTCAATATCATACGATATTCAGGGCAGGTGCTCTACTACAGCTATGGGTGCAGAGGATATGGGAATGAGGGGAGAGATTCTATTGGAAACTAGAAAGGAAAGGAACAGCATTTAGGTGCTGCCATGTGTTAAGTCACATGGCAGGAATACACAGTGATTCTCTGTTTAACACAGTGAAATTTTTTTTCATTGTATGAAAGGGTACAAGTAACGTGGCATCTAATTCAGTTCCAATATTGCAAAGAATAAATGGACTCCTACTCAAGGTTGGCCATGACTGCCTCTATTTCCAACATCTATGCAGCCTAGAGAGTTTCAGGCAGACAATTTTAGAAATTTTGGACACATGAGGTGAATATAATGTAAAGTCAATGTAGCTTGGTTAGAATGGTCTTGTGGGGAATGCTCGAGGCAAGAGGCATGGAGGGGTAAAGAGATCACTTCAGAGTTGCTGATCAAACCCCTCCTCACCTTATCTCACCTCACTCAGTATAGAAACACTATTTATTCTTCTCCCTCTGCTCTCCTCAAGTAACTGTCCTGGTTCACTTGTGAGTCATTTAACAGTAGAATGAGTGAGAACCTCAGCCATGACTCCTGAGGAAATACCGGGAAGAAGATATCCTCATAGATTCCAACTGACTGAGTCCTTTCGCCCCTCTAGGGTTTACATGCTGTTCATGAACTTTTCAATTCTTGATTCCTATGGAGGGTATCTCAGCCTGGATGTACCCTCCCACTGTGGGGTCTCGGGGAGGACCCAGTTAGAGAACAGGAAACGGAATACCTCGGTTCATGATTCTGCAGGGTCTCAATCTCAGCAGTCTGTATCCCGGTAGAGAGGCGTGGCTTTAGCCTGTGGGGGAAAGAACAAAGTGTGGGGTTCAATGTGAGTAACTGGGCCATATAGAGCAGTTCGGGGAGGGGTATGAGATTCCCCCCAAAAGAGTTACAAATGCTAAGACACTGCCTTCCCAAATCCTCTGTGAAATCTCCCAGTAAATCCCAGAATCTAGACAAGGCTTTCTCTCTCTCTCTCTCTCTCTCTCTCTCTCTCTCTCTCTCTCTCTCTCTCTCTCTCTCTCCTTCTATCATACTCTCTTGCTGAGATGTCCATGGTTCTCCTCACTCGGGCGATACTCGACCCCATGCCTCTGCAGGGGTCCCTGCTCATCTGGGCCGAGGGCACTTCCTGAGGACAGATATGGAGGTGTCTTTCTGTGAAAAGCAATTAATGACATGACGCATGTTGATTCAGAGCTGGACCTTCCCGGTCCTGCCTCATCTTATTTACTAACTGTCCCATGAATCTGTGGCCGTGGGAGGTGACTTTTTCAGTGCACCTTTGAAGAACACCAATTAGGCTCTTCCTTTGTGATCTTGGTGGGTTTCTTTCACATGCCTTATACATAACGTACAGGAACTCAAGCAGGAGGCTGAGGAAGAAAGGAAGAAGAGAAATAAAAAAGAAAAAGAGGAGATAAAACAACATGCTTCTATTGAAACTATCAGAAAGCTAACACACTGTTCATAAAGGATCTCCATGAGAACCTGAAAGAAAATACACAACAAATTGTACCTGTAGCACTATAGCACTGTCCTCCCATTGTTCACTGATTTGCTGTAGCGGGCGCAGTAACATCTCCATTGTGAGACTTGTTACTGTGTTTGGCATATCGAATACATCACAGGTAGCTTGCCAGGCTTTGCCATGCAGGCAAGATACCCTAGGTAGCTTGCCAAGCTCTCCGAGAGGGGCAGAGGAATCGAACCCGGGTCGGCCAGGCAGGCTGCATGCAAGGCAAACGCCCGACCGCCGTGCTATTGCTCCAGCACTATTTAAGAAAATTCTGAGTTGAGAATTTTGATTTTTGACTACAACCCCAAGGATGTAAAAGGAAACTAACATTTATGGGAACTATTAAAAACTAAAGGTTGCCAAGAATACCCATAAACCAAGGCAGATACAACTAGAGATCTCAGGACACTGCAGTGTTTCAGCATACTAAAGAGAACCCGCCGCGGAACAACCAACCACCCCACGTATCAGTAGAAGCCCTAATAATAGCAGGGCTGCTAGATGGGTGAGAGATCTGAGCTGCCCTCTTTGTGAGGTGTCTCTGTGGAGATTAGAGGCCACACAGGCCTTCCGGTGCAGGTATGTAAGGGGGAAATAGGGATTTAATTACACAAAGAATGATCTCTGCAGAAGCAGTAGATGAGAGCCTCATGCACACACACATGTACACACCCCAGTTTAGTTCTGCTTCAAGCTTACCCAGCCAGGATGAGTGTGGGGGTGTTAGCAATGTGGCTCCCCTGCTTCTCCCAGGAAGCTTCTGGATTCAGGGCACACAGGTCTGAGCCCCATCCCCCCACAGATTCCAGAAAGGATAGGGCTGGCATTGTGGAGGGCCCATCATCTTCCTGCTTCCGTTTCCTCTTGAGACCCTTGGAAAGTCATTCCCCTCTTGTTGCTTCAATTTATCCCAGGACCTGGCAATGAGCAGGCACCTAGACCTGGGTGAGTGACACAAAGCCAGTGTCCTTGGGTCTCAGGGACCACTTGATTCCAGAGTCTCAAGAAAGAAATCCTTTGTCCACTCAGCCTGGGCTGCAAGACCCTGAGAACTGGGGGTGGGGCACAGAGGAGGACTACCCTACTCTCTTCCTCTTCTCCTGTGCTGCCTCCATATCCCAACAGGATTCTCCCCCGTCCCTCTTCCCACCTCCACCTGTCTCCTCTGGTCACTGTGTCTCAGGGACTCAGGTTGAATAAGGGGTAATGAGCTGCCCTTCTGAATCCACCTGGGCAATACCCTCCTTCTTATGTTTAGGGAATAAGAGGAGGGTGCCGGAGTTAACCCAGTGGGTTCAAATATGGGCTCCACTACTGGTTCCTGTGTGGCCTTAAGCCCTATACCTAACT